TTATTATTTAACCATCTAAATTTGAAGTTTCTAGCTCTTATACTTTCGGAGAAATAAACTTTTTAGCTTCAATAGCGCCTAAAAAGTTGCGTTAATACGGACAGACGAATGGAAAATGCGGACGGACAAGACGGACATTGCACAAAACCAATATACTCATTTCACTTTCGTGAATGAGTATATAAAAGGATAATGCCTATAATTAATATTTGGTATGTAACCCTTTAGCTTTAATAACAGCTGATGAGAGGTTTGGCATCGAAAAAAAAAATTTTTAGTTTTTTTTGCCATTCTCTTAAGCTTGCTTTAGGTCGGCATGTTTTTCATTGCCCGCTTTGAGATGCGCCCATCCAATTCTTCCCACAAGTGTTCAGTTGGTTTAGAAATTGTGGTGGACGCGGTCGCACATGGGCAGTATTATACGCCAGCCATATTTTGAAGTTTTGGGCAGATTGCTTGGGGACGTTGTCATGTTAACATGGAGCTTGGTATTTGTAGCTTTTCAGCACTTTTTTTTTAAGATTCTCTTTAATGCAACCCCAGGCCATCACCTCACAACAACCATACTTAACTCTTGGCGTAATATTGTTTATTTGTAAAATGCAGTATTCGGATGGCGCCCATCCGATCGAAATATGTATATTGAATTTGCACTCAGCACAGAACAACACTTGACTCCTGTAATCAGACGGCTTGCTAATATATTCCTTAGCGTAGTCCAAACGCTTGTTTTTATTACCATCTGCGATGCTCTGTATTCGGCCTTGTGCAGTACAACTAACCATAATGTGCGTTATATGGTTAATGGCAGTACTCCGCGTATTGTAATCGGGTGCTCATCCTTCATTATTTCATTTTTAACCTCAGCAGCAATCTGTGTTGATGTTGTTTTGGGATTTACTTGTACCTTTCTAACAATTTTCCTGCATTCATTGTTGTTCAACAACTTTGGGCAACCTGTATTTTTAGAGCTTTTGCAGGTTGCGAAGTTTTAAATAAAGGACACAACAGATGGAGACATTGCCAAATTGATTTTGCCCCATCGGTCAAATTGTTAAAAAACAAAAAAGCCTAAACCAAAACAAGGCTCTAGTCGAAACTGACATTCTAATTATTCCGCGCTTCTTTTATGCACACTTACATACACATGCATCCACTCTGCTAACTGCGCAGCAAGCAGCGACTGCTCTTAGACTGCGCCGCGGTATGGGCAGTATGGGCGAAATGGGCGTGGTATCCGATATCTGTAATTTACAAAATCTTTGTATTCGTCAAACGTATATACACCGTAAATCTAAAAATAAAATACGTCTCCAGGTCTGAAAGGTTTCAAATTAAGCTGAAAAAACAAAATCAATTTATCGATTATTCTTGATGAAAAAGAATTCGGATGAGCTATGGAAAAATATGATGAGCTCGTACCACGTCTGGTATACACGACTATGAATGCAAAATTTCAAGTCTCTAGCTCTTATAACTTCTGAGATCTAGGCGTTCATACGGAAGGACGGACGGACAGGGCTATATCGACTTAGTTCGTCGCCCTGATCAAGAATATAGACAGTGGCGGTGTACACATATAATTTACAGCCAATCAAGAAATAGGTGTTTACGGCCTAGAAATGTTTTAATAAAGTAAATTTTCGATTCACATCCCTTTTAGAAAACCGTATAAAATATTTTTTCATATAGTCACCTAATGTCTAGATATGGAGTATGGCATCAACCTGTTACATTTATAGTTGCATCATAAAACAAAATCAATTACTCATGGGATTCACATGAATGAGTCTACACACATATATATATATATATAGTCAATGCCTACTTCTTACGCAGGGAAGCACAAGAATTTTCGTTCAACTCGTGGATTTACGGTTTCTAAGCCAAGTTTAGTGCAAATAAATCATACATATGTGATCTCTAGATTTTTATTCTTATTATATTTTCCATATATTTTTTCAAGTGAATAAAAAACTATATCAAATATTTAAATCGTTAATTATTTAGTATAAATGACTTAAAAAGGTTCCCATAATAAATAAACCTTAAGTTATATACAAACAACGACTGCTCAAGCTACTGATGTGGAGTCAAAATTAAAGTTTCTGAATATCTAAAATTGTATTTATGTATGTTTATAATGGAGCATTTGATAATTGGTAAATGTTCAAATTAGGTGTTTGAGCAGCAAAGCTGTATAAATTATAAATTTAGCATAATACTATTTATATTGAGCAAAGGGCTAAAATTTGTGCAATGGTCTGTAACCTAGACATTCGCATTTAATTGATACTGAAGAAGAAATATAATTTACATTTGCAAAAGAGGACTAATATCGAAAATATTGCTACGAAATATAGGATATAGAAACGCCATAATGAAGAAGTGGTTTTGTTTTTCTTTTGCTAGAATGCATGATTTGCGTGGCTGTAATTTTATTATTTCGTTTACATCCCCTCCTCCAGTCATTCTTCTGCTCCTTAACTCCTGCCTCTGCTCCACTGCACATATCATGCAACAACTGAGATTGTTGCGGAGTCTGGGCACGACTAGCGAATGGCTGACTTCAAACGCTTGGCTGGCCACATGGTTACAACTTGATTTTGTGGGGGCTCTAAAATAATTAAGCGTTAAATATGCTCTAGTTATTAGTTGCCAACAGCTGTAAAGATAGATGCCCCTCTCTGCATTCCCCTCACAATATGCCACATTTCTTCAGCACAATTTTGCGCTTTCGCGCCGCACTTGATCCGCTGCTCTTTTTGGCAGGACGTAGGACAATAGTGCCGCTACTTGACTTAGTGAAGGTCGGGCTAAATGCGCTGATAGTCGGCGCATTACTGTAGGACGGATGCGTCGTCGCCTGCTGAGTGCTGTTGCTACTGCCATATACTTGGTCGTAGGTCTGCGTCATTAGCTGGTGGCACTTTGTGGCCAGATAGCGGAACACAGAGGCCACATTGATGTCCTCCTTAACGGAAGTGCGTATCAGTCGACAGTTGAGCATTTTGGCCAGCGTTTCAACTTCATCCGCACTGACCACTGCCTGCTCGATAAGATCGATTTTATTCTGGACAATCACAGTTGGTATTTCATTGCATTCGTTTTCCACTTTACGTTTCCATTCCTTGATTGCGTCGAAGGAGGCACGATCTGTCGTTGAAAACACCAGCACTGAGGCTTGGGCACCTCGGTAATAAGCCTTGGTTATGCAATCGAACTCCTCTTGTCCAGCTGTGTCCCACAGCATGATGCGCACGTCCTCGCCATCTATCTCGATCTGACGCTCTAGAAAATCAACACCAATCGTCTTCTTATAGTCCTTCGTAAAGATGCCTTTGCAGTAGCGCTGGATCATTGAAGATTTACCTACGCCCCCATTGCCAACGATTACCTGTAAAAATATATTTTTTTATAAAATGTATGCTTTAAATAAAATAATTAACTATAATGTGTGTGTGTGATTTCGATTTCGTGTGTTTAAGGAGCAATTACAACAGTTAAAAGTAAAATAGGCAATTAATTGAAATATTATTTAATTTATTGAAATATTATATTATTGAAATAATATATTTTACTATATCGAAAATATATCTATGTACGATCGTTTGAGATTACATAAATTATTTTACAAACTAGGCTTTAGGTTTCTGAGTCTTCAAGTTAGTATACGAATATATTTTAATATAATTGTTATACTAATATAAATTAACTCGACATTATCTAAATAATTGTTGGTATTCTTATACCAATATCAGTTCTTAGATACGCATTTATTTACTTTTTTATACTTCTATGATTAGAGACGAAATATGAAATAAACAATAATATACTTGAGACTATATTGTTGGACTGAAAGACAAATGATGACCTGTATTCTTCTGTATTTTGTAGCTTGTCTGTATACCTCCTCCTTTCCTTTCTAAATACTGATCTCTAAAAATATTCTCTTTGCAATATTACGGTTAAAATAAAGAAATTCAGACGATTACCAATAATAGGTATATGCATTTTTAGATGAATGTTATATGTATTAGTTATAATATGCGCAATTCAAAAACGATCCAGGGTACCTCGTAGTCGATCGCCGCCGCATTTTAAAAAGTTGGTTTTGTTTATTTAAGGAAACACTCTATTGTACTCGTATGTGTACATGTATGTGTTCTATTCAATTAGTATGGTCTGCATCTGTTCTCTGTTCGCAGTTTGTCACTCGCATGCAGCTGACTGGACAGGGATTTATTCAGTACTTGTAGCTGTTAGCGGGAATCGGTTGATTGCTCTCTTGTAGGTATGCGTGTTTCTGTGTCTTTGTCAATGTTGGAGAACTTACCACCTTAATGGCCAGCTCGATGTCGTCCTCACGCATGCTGCTGTAATTATATTGGGACTGCGAATGGGACTGCAGACCAGCTGCTGCAGCGCCTCTCGTTGCCGTTGCCGTTTGAATTAACAGACGCATCGGCGGCCACACGAAGAGCTTCGTGTCCAGCAGGCGCACGAACCCGACTGTTGACTGCTGCTGGGTTGGCTAATGGCAGCGCGGGGTGCAAAAGCAGCGAGCTGGGCTTTTTGGCGACTCCGATTTTCAGTTTACGCTTGGTATGGCTTTTTGCGTATTATCGACGCAGCTTTAATTCACTTTCTACGTATTGATTTTATACAAAATCGAATGCTCACTGGAAGCAGAAACTGTGGAAAACAAAACACAATCATCACGAAAATAAACGCATAAGCCGTAAGCAAGCATAAGTTTTTCTTTCGTTTTCACAGAAACCGGTTCGTGAGTTTATCTATGATTAGTTTCTTTTTTAATTTTTCTATTTTTGGTCTTTTTACCTCTTCCTGTTCGGCTTTTAATAAGCGGCTACGTGAGCCGGTTACCTCTACAGCAGGTGCTATCACGACACCCCACAGCTCACAGCTCATAGCTCACGCATCACAGCGCGCATCGTCGCACAATTGTTGCTGTCATTGGAATTGGGACTATGGCAAGATCAAAGGTAAGGCCAAGCATGCATATGGGTTTCGTGTGGTATTCGTTTCTTGTATGTATGCGAATGACACTAAAGCGTGCTTACGAATTCTTTTGAATTAACAGTGGAGATCAAAGGGTAGACGGGATTAGCATATGTTGCTTTGGCGACAATGGGAATACATCAGCAGTTTGCATTTATAATTTTAAAAATTTTGCAAAATTTTTATGCTAATACAAGACTATCAATTACCTAACTAGTCCATTTCACGCCATCGAAGCTCATAAAATGAAATGCTTTCACAATGCCTTAAAAAGCAAAGACAGTTTAGAACTATAAATATTTATAACGAGTTTTATTATTTTCTTTTGAGCTGCAGAATTCGTTTCCAATAGTTAAATAACTTTTAGATTTCTACGTTTTCCTTCCCTTCCATTTTTTATTTTAGACATAGCCATTAACCATTAACTATTCAACTGTATTTTATTTTATCTTCATTTTTATTTTAGTTATTTGTGCTGTGGAATCCACTCTGCAACATTTGAACTCGCGCGCGTTCTTTTGTTGCCTTTCGCTCGTTCTAATTATGTTGTGACCGTTTCGCGTTTGAGTCTCATTCTACCGCACTCTTCTTCTTTTCCGCTGAAAATGTTAGAGTTTGGTGCTGCGGGTTATTTGTGTCTCTATGTGTGCATGTGTGTGTGAGTACTCGTCTTCGTTTTGCCTATTGTTATGATAATTAAGGCCAGAGCGGTTATAGATTTAACTAGTTCAATAAGCACACACACACACACATGTACATATGTATATGTTAACATGTGGATGTGGGGGCCAACATTAAGAAAAAAAAGTCATGTCAACAAAGCCTAACGTAGAATTCAAATGAATGGTTGCAGTGCTTGTGTGCTGTGTCTGTGTGAGATTCAATGCATGAAAGACTGCACGCAGACGTAGTCGGCGCTAGCTGTGCGCGCGGCCCCTACCTGTTGCACCGCTGTCTCGCAATCTGTCCCTCTCTTTCAGCCTATCTGTCTGACTGTATTAGTGAGTGAGTGTGTTTTGGTGTGAGTTTTCTCAAATTACAAATAATGCACATCATTGCAATTTTCCACTTCTTCGTGCCTTAGCTAAATTGTCTAGAATGTGCAATTATTTTGAAATTTGCTCGCAAACTAATAGATTTTGTTGTTGTTGTTGGTGCTGCGGTCGATTGCCACTTCCTACTTGATGCATTGTGTTGTTCTTGTTCTCTTTGTGGAATGTGGATTCTAACTTGGCCATTTAAGTACACGATGAACCATGCAACTGTGTCTGTGTAGCAACAACAACAGCCACAAATACCACTTGTTGCTTCCACTGTAAATGGCAACTAAAGCACAGCAAATTTACATGGTTGTGTATGTGCGGAAAATTATGCAAATGCTACTGCTGATGTTGCTGGTGCTGTTTTCTGTTGCGCTACTTAAATCAATTATGAGCGAATTCCTCATTACTTAAATTCATTTTAAATACTCCATTCGCACACTAACGGCACTTTTAAAACCCGTCGCTGACAAGTCTACATTTTTTCTTTCTTATTGTTGTATCATATTCCATATTTTTTATAGCCCTTTTTCGCACACGCACACTCTCAGTTTAAAAGCAAGAGATGGCTCATTGTGTTTGTTGGTGAGAAATTAACGAAATATAAATTGAAATATTAAAAAACATACGAATAGCGAAAAACGCGAAGCGAACGGAGCAACCGGGGAACCGTCAGAGCAGTAAAAAAAACAACTCACAAGCGGCTTCAGCACAAATAGCTATGCAATAACAACAATGCGTACGAAGTGCATTCATTAATGTTGGAGTTAGTTACAGCTGTCTGTTGACTGCCTTTGGGAGCTGAACCATAGTGAAAGTCTCTACTTCTACACGCACACCTAATCATATAATACACACCGTACCCACGAATCACGAAGATTGTAAGCTAACATCGAACAGTAATAGTACCACACCTGTTGCTTACCGCGTTTCAGCAAAGACTAAATCTTAAACTTGGCTTACAAACCAATACTGGCCGAGTATGAATGGAAGAAGAAGACGAATCGGCAGTGCTGATAAGCGATTCAACTGTGGCATGGGTACATTGTTGCTCACAGCATTGATGTGTTTAGCTTGCTAAAAATAATATTCCATTATTGCTTAAAGTTCTTAATGAAATGTTGGTCAAAATTCATTTAATTTAAATAATTAACGCCACTAACTATCGATAGCTGTTTAGTATGCTGCTTTTCAGCACTGTTTCTACGAATACATGGGATTGAGTTTTGAAATCAGCTGTGCAACCGATAGATTGTGGCGGTCGGTCGATGGACTCTTATCGTGCGCTATTTTTGGAATGGTATATTTTTGTTTATTTAGATTGTGCTTGTTTGGCGGGCGAAAATGTTATTTCGATTAAAATTGTTAACTCGTGGCTCACTTCGGCTTACTTGATTAAAACAGCAATGAATTAAACTATAAATTGAAATGGCATGCGCCCGTGCTTTCATATAGTCATCAACGGCGTAGACAAATCTCAACGCATGCGCCCAATGGACAGGATGTAGGACGACTGCTGTATCGGCACAGAAAAATTGTGCGATACCGACTAGCAGGAGTGTTCGAGCCGTAATTCGTGCTTTTTGCTATTCAGTGCTTTGTTACTTCACAGCGATTTGGCGAATACGTCTCCAATCGTTTAGCTATATAATTTTTCTTCGCAAACAACAAACGAGTCGTCGTGGTGTACGTTTTTACGTGTTTACGTGTGTGTATGTATGTGTGCATCGCTTTCATTTCTGTGTCGAGGTAGAAGTAAACTTAAAAAGCACACTGTGAAACCATAGCAAAGTAAAATATAAATGTTTATACAAAAGTAAATACCAACATTGCCATCGACCGTATTTTCAGGGGTGACTATGTTTAGTGCTTCTCCCCTGCTTCTGCACTCTGGCACTTATGGTGGTGGCTCCTGAGCTCTGTCTTACACATTCCTATTTCTAGCAGTGCAAAAAAAAAAAAAAAAAAAAAAAAAAAATTTAAAAGAAGCTAAGAAGCAGCAATGCTCAGTTTTTTACTTTGCTTCTGCGAATTAAAAACGGAAAAACGGATGTCTAAGCTTATATACCCTCTGAAACTGGAACAAAATCAACTTTTTAATAGATTATATATGCATATAGATTAAGTAATATGCAATTATAAAATTATATAAATATTGACTACTGACTATTGACTCTTCTTATAAACTATATGTTCTTCGTAACTATGCCATGCCCGCTGGAATACTTATCAGTAAAAGTACAATTTAACGAGTTATTTTAATTAACTAGAGAACAAAGTGAACTGAAAACAARTAATAATAATAATAACTGACCAACTCTAACGTACACTGTCTTCAAAGATAACAATTCGAATTGAGCTCGAACTCACAGTTACAGTTACACAAGGTTATGATACCCGCTGAAAATTTTTGTTATCCAGGGTATCGCGCCGAAAAATCAATAGAGAAGTAATCTTTCCTGCTGATGAGCCGCACTTTCTGCGTCATCAATACGAATAAATAAACAAATGGTAAAATTTGCTATGTAAAAATTTTTAATATGATCCCTCTCGAAGTGATGTTGTATATTATTGATGTGCTAACCAAATGGCCACAAGCGATTTCGGCGCTATTGAAGTTAGAGACAGCGATTTTGAATATATACTCCTTGTTACCCACTAATATTTTCCCGATACGCACTGTAAAGGTGTGGCAAAGCGTAAAATTCTATGTATGGGCCAACGTAAACGCTCTTCTTTATAAATGATAGAGGATTGTGATTTGAAATAAATCACATAATAAATTATCTAATATTTTGACTACTAATGTGTTATCTATTATATTTTCTAATGTCTTAGAGCTACAAAATTCGATAGTTGAGTTATAATGTCTCTCTAACGATTGATAGAATATTTCTCATCGATATCCCCCCGCAACTCGAATATGAAAGAATAAAATACATCTGTTCTCTACTATTGATTTATCAAAATTCGCATACATATAAATGTGTAGTTGGGGGCGTGGAAAATCGAACGACCGGAATGCTCCAATATTTTGTAGCTCGAGCATAAACAGATTCACAATTCAGAAAAGGCTAATACTGTGAGAGGGTATTATGCAGTAGATGGCATCGAGTGCGAAACTCTGACTTATTTAATTTAAATTTCAGCGCTTTTTTATGTAATTATTACTCAAACGGTTAAAAAACATTTATAGTCCGTAAAACAAACATCAGAACCCAACGCGAAATAATGAAAAGCTAAGAAATAAATAAAGAGCGAACAAAATTTATGGAAATGTAATTTACAGTGCAAATTGTGCTGCATTTAATTTTAACGTCAATATTGAAAATTATTAACAGTATACCCAAGCAGTATAGTCGAGCTTAATAAATAAACAAACTGTTTAAGATGAAAACTCGACTCGTTACGTTGACATATCGGGGTAGTGCGTCCGTCGATCCGCGCTATTCTGCTTCGATGTTGCCATGGACCATAAACGATATTCGATCCACAGAGAGTTACACAAAGGTGAGCTACTAAAGCATGGAGCCAAGAAGGCCTTCTTCAATAGCGTTATTTTGATCTTGT